TTGTACCCAATCCATTAACGGACCAGCTACGTTATCAGAGCCCTATCTACGTACTCTCCGTAGACAACTTTCTGTAAGTGGAGTGCAAACTCGCGAATTCACGGGTTTTTCCCGCCCACTAACGTAAAGTTGCTCAACTTTACGTAGTGGGGAACCTCTCTATTATTAAATTTTGTTAGTGGGCACGAAATAACTAACGTTTGTACCAAACTAAACTGACCTCTTCTGAACGTTCAGGATGATAGACCCCGACCGAAAACGAAACTTAGTACGTAACGAACCTGCTGGTGGAGTGATCTAACGAAAGATTTCGTGAACGAAAATTTCTACTTATACAGTTTCATCCTATTCATAGCTATACAGTAGTGGATAGTCCTTTTTGTGAATATCGTCTTTTTGAGCTTTTCTAGCTGAAAAAGTGCTAAAATCTGTTTGCTCATGCATGCGATCACAATTTCCGAGTGCTCGATGGGCCGGCCTTGGCACGCCCCTTTTTTTGGGGGGGGGGCAACAAGTTGGTGAAGTTGGTGAAGTTGGTGAAGCTTGTACACAATGCTTTAAAAGGTGTTTTTTTTAACTTTACTTCCTGTTTTGCCTTTCGTGGACCCATAATTGGGTGCGTATTCATTTCTCAGCTTGGGTTCATATCTGAACATGTATCATGGCTATGCTTCACTGAAAAAAGAGCACTTTTTGCCTGTTTTCACTGAAAAAGAGCACTTTTCAGCATATTTTGAGGGACGCGAAAAGCACAAAGTGCGAATTAAAGGGGAAGTTAAACCAAAAATCAAAATTTCACCAGTTGTAGTCTTCGGGGTGCTGAGTCGAATGGTCTTGGTCCAAGAAAGCTGTGACGCTCCCTTCCTACTTGAATCCCAATCGAACTCGCGCACTTCCACCGAAACTGGGTGACTGCGCCCTTCATTGCATATACAATTATGGTGCACTCAAGAAGTCCTGTTACTGCGAACAATACACATTTGGGCGGCGAGAATCTCGCACACATGAGCTTCAGCAGTTTAGCTCAATCCCAGTCGCACAGTCGAGTTCACCGCCTGACCGTCGCCACATTCATTTAAAAACTGCTTTCAGCGGCAGTTTTCCGGACAATGGTAATGGGCACCCCGAGTCAGTCGTTTCACTGTCACCAAAGATAAATAGTGCAAACACGTGCAGATTTCATTGGCTCTGGGCCATGTTCTTCGTGAACATCTTTGAGTTTTCTAGCGATAAACAGATACCCTAACAATGCAGTCATTATAATACTGGTGGATGGTAAAACGGAGACGCGATTTAGGCACGCGAGTGAATATGATCATCTAGGCCGTTGTGTTTGCCTTTGGCACGTTCTGACCATATTCGTTCGGCAGACTGTACCCAGATGAGTGGTAAAGTAGGACTCCGTGCGCTGGACTAGCTAGGTGTCCATGGTGACTCGATTCAAGTGCGTCATAGCCCGATCCCTTCACTGACATCACAGAGGGCGACAATTCCACAGCGACACCCTGGGCCCACACAGAGACAACGGCGTGAGGGTATTACACTTCAGCCGAGCACGTGGCGTCTTGGTGTGGCTTGCAGCATGCAGTTTCTCGTCGCCACCTCCCTCGCTCCAAAGCACGCAAGGCAACAGACTTCCACACCATTTTGAGCATTTCATAAAGACGGTTTTCACTGCGAGCGCCTCTTACACCGAACACTGTGCTCTATGTGAAGGAGGTCGCTGAAGTTGAGTCTGTACGCGACGTGAAAGAAGGCTATGAAGAACGTAGGGGCTCTTTTGCAGACCTGTGTAGCGATAGCCAACATGGCTGATCCAGTAGCGGACTTGAATATCGACCAGGTTCGTACAACACATGTTTCCTCCCCAAAATTCTTTGAAGTAGTGGAGGCTAAACAAAATTCCCCCAGGATTCTTTGAGTTGCCCGAACCCCTGTTGCTCTAAGTCATCAAATCCCCCGTGGAAACGGCCAACTGCACACTAACTTTTCACAATTCCAGTGTGCAAAACGTTAACCACCTGTTGATCCTCTAACGCTTTCCTTAATTTCCCGCTTGAGCAGGAAAATTCTGGAATTCTTCTCGGCACTTTATCAAGTCCCGCTCAATCTCTTCACTAAGATATTTGTGATCGGAAAGAGACCCCTTCCACTTGTTTCGGAAAAATAACTTTGAACATCCAAAAATGTCAATTGCAAAAGAAGAGACTGGGTCTCTTTCTGTTTCGTCAACCCCCCCCCCCCCTCCATGTTCAGCTAGACGACATGTGCATACTGTGCTGAGGAACAGACGTTCCCATAGTGCAATGCTAAACCAATCTTGCTACTCAGAAAGACAACAACCCCTCTCAAGACTATCCTCAACTGGGATAATTTACGGCAGCAAATTACATTTGAACTGGAGATTGTAATTTGGTCTCACTCCAGCCCTTGTGGTGCGGACATTGTGCGATTTCAGCACGCATCCTCCAGAGACCACGGCTAATACTTCTGTTTGTGTCCTACAGGTGTTGCGTCCCGCAAGGACTGCTGCGAAAGACGACAGAAGCTTACTTGCCGCTGGGTCTGATTCTTCACTCTACACAAACCCACCATCCACGTGTAAGTACATTCCCATCCACAATACTTCTAGCGTTTCGTGCTCTCTTCCCTTGTTCTGAAGAGAATTGTGCATGTACTTCATATTCGAACGATGTGCAATGCGCAAGCTGGACGGCTAGCACATCTTCCCGAACGTAAGACAGTAGGAAAAGAGACGGCGAAAGCCATACAGACGAAGAGAATGATACGGACACAGACAGAGACGGAGTCCGACACACGCATAAAGAGATGTAGAGAAACTAATCGAGAGCGAGATCATAAGGGTCTGAGAGTGAACGTGAGCGAGACAGATTGTATCAGGAGAGAGAGAGAGAGAGAGAGAGAGAGAGAGAGAGAGAGAGATAGATAGATAGATAGAGAGAGAGAGAGAGAGAGAGAGAGAGAGAGGGAGAGGGAGAGGGAGAGAGAGCGAGAGCGAGAGCGAGAGCGAGAGAGAGAGAGAGAGAGAGAGAGAGAGAGAGAGAGAGAGAGAGAGTCTTTTGGACTCTGAGTCGACTGGTTTTGGTCCGAAAAGGCTGCGATCCTCCTTTATTCCCAATCGAACATGGTTGAACAAGCGGTCACGTGCTCCTGCGTACACCAGTCACCTGGTCACCGTGCCTGCAGGGTACAACTTACTAGCCTGTTTAACCTTTTTTGGGTGCAGTCCTGTCACTTGAGTTGCACTCGAGTTGAACCTTGGTGTGAAAATTGTCGCCTGCTGGCGTGGTGACCAGGTGATTTGGGCACCCAGGAGCACGTGACCGCTTGTTCAACCACGTTCGATTGGGAATAAAGGAGGAACGCTGCATCGCAGCCTTTTCGGACCAAAACCAGTCGACCCAGCGTCCAAAAGACTACAACATATGGGCCAATCGCGGTCATCCGTGCTTTTATAAGAGCGAAATGGCGCTTTTAGTGACATTTTGCATACAAATCCCCATCTAGTAGGGCGCAGTCACCCAGTTTCGGTGGAAGTGCACGAGTTCGATTGGGATTAAAGTAGGAAGGGAGCGTCTCAGCTTTCTCGGACCAAGACCATTCGACTCAGCACCCCGAAGACTACAACTGGTGAAATTTTGATTTTTGCCTTAACTTCCCCTTTAAAAGAGCACCTTTGGGAAAGGGCTAGTAGTGGACCACACCATTTTTTTCCTACAAAGAACACAAACCCGGCTCAGACAAAAAAATAAGAACAAGAAAGATAACAAAGTTGCATGCACGAAGACCATAGCTTAGTGGTTAGAGCATCGCTGGCTTTTTTATTTATTTATTTATTGGGAACACAGCCCTGTGTGGTTACAAGTGAGGGTCCCTGGTTCGAGTCCTGGTGGTGACAGTCAATTTTTTCTTCAGACTTTGTTTCTGTCTTTCCCTCAAACAATTGAATACCTTACAGTCCATTTCAAAACTATAGACGCGTAGGGTTTTTGAAATATTTCAAATTTGGCTGGAACTTTTTGAGAAAAGTTTTCGGAATATTGCTCAGGATCGCTCCACAATTACACTCATATAGTTTCTAAACGATTGGATAACGGACGCCCAATTTGGAAAAAATTATGCACAAAGTGATCACAGATTTTATGTGGTATAGATGCTGGCACAACGGCTTTTACCTAGGCACGCGTCTATAGTTTTGAAATGGACTGTAGACAGTAGTGTTATGACGTAATTCATACTATGTTTTTTGTTTTGTTTCAATATTGTTTTTCTCCTTTTGAATTGAGTTTATTGATTGAGTTCGGTGAGAATAATTTATTTTGTTTCATAAAGTTTTGACTTGAAGTTCTGTTTGGTTTGGGTTTGAAAATCTTTATTTTTACACATGCATTTTTCTGATTTTTTCTCCAGTGTATGTCGTATTGCATTTTAATCCATTGTGTTAATTTTTAAATATAACTTTTGCCCGTAAAGAAGGGTTGAAAAAGTCGTGCTTTATCGTTGTGTAATATTATGACCGCTGGAAATTATTATTATTGTTTATTAAATTTTTAATAGGGCATTCCCACAGGCCTAGGGCCTTCTTACGGGGTACCCTCAGTTTTCTCCACCTGAATTGTTTTCCAGACTGTTCGGACTCACATGTAAATTTGTGACCTATATGAAGGTCATTGAGTACTTCATAGAATGTTTCATTTTGCGTTTTGTTGTCAACATAATTATGTGAAAAAGCCATCACAAATCTGACATTGGAACTAGACTACAATGTGCCTAAAAGTTGACTCGAGGTATGAAGTACACTACACAGTCTTTAGCTAATATGGGACACAGTGGGGAGCCATGGCAACAGGTTGATCATGTTAATTTTCCCCGCACCCGAAATTACAGAAATGTAATGTAATGGAATAATTGTCATTGCAAGTTCCGAGAAAAAGGATAGAAAATGACGCTGAATATCTTGCAGGTTTTCAAAGTCTTACCTTCAGCACAATTTATTGTGTGCAGCATTGAAGCCAACACACATAGTGCAAGCAATAAAATAGATCCCATCTTCCACCTGTTAACAGTACATGCAAAACAATGAACTGGAGTTGTTGTAAAGTAGAATCCAAGCAATAACCAACAAGATCATATACATGTAGAATAGCCAACAACACAACTGGAAGTTGCCAATTGCATTAGCCCCAAAAAGCTAGCTGACGATCGGTAGAAGAGTGCTTGAAGAGTGGCAAAATGCAGTACTGAAGGTTGGTAAGGTCATACCACTTCCACTTTGCACTGTTCTGTTCTTGCTTATTTGCACATACAGTCAACTTCGCCAATAACGACATTCGGCAGGGCATCAGAAAAGTGTCCTTATTCGCGAAGTGTCCTTATAACCGAAGTCCCATTTGAATGTATGTGAACCCATATTTTGTATGGTATGACATGCATATCAAAATCAAGCTCTTTTCTTGCTCTATGTCAATGTGTACTTTATTTTCATATTGCAGTTGAAAGGAACTAAAAATTCAATATGCAAGGGAAATCAATTGAAAAATATGCCTTTTTGAGCCATCTACAGGGCCAGAGACATGTACATGTATGATGATTACTGTACAATCATGTACAACTACGTGTACATTGTATACACAATCTGCGGACAGAACTGTTTCGTCCTTTGTGGACTCGTCAGCGCAGCACAGAGGAAATGAGGCCGAACCTGATAGCAATGGAAATAAAAATTTCCAATCAGGCCCGAACGTACCTTGCCAGAGTGCACAAACTGACAAGTCAGTGCATAAAGCAAACAGCAAAGGCACTACCCCATGCAAGAGTGCTCAACTGCTACAAGAGCAAGAGCGAAATACTCAATCTGCGGACAGAATAGTTTCGTCCTTTGTGGACTCGTCAGCGCAGCACAGAGGAAATGAGGCCGAACCTGATAGCAATGGAATCAGGCCCGAACGTACCTTGCCAGAGTGCTCAAACTGACAAGTCAGTGAGCTCTGTACATTGTATACATATAGGTGTGCTGGTAAATCCAACAATTTTGAAGCCAACATAAAAAAGGAAGAAAAAGCCCCCGGCCCCCCTTGGCTGCATTTTCTTGCATGTGTGCCTTTATAATAATAATATCCATCACCATAGGTTCTGGTACTTCTGCATGACAGGTGCATGTACTTGACTGACAGGTACTTGAAATAGCTGTCAAAAGCCCAGAAAGTCGTTATTCAAGCAGTGAATATGACCTCGGGGCACTAAAAGCATGTCGCTATACGCGAATTGTCGTTATTCAGATAGTCGTTATATCCGAAGTTAAATGTATACAGTTAGATGAGACTTTGCTCTGGGCATAGAAATTCGGTCGTTATTCGCGAATTGTCGTTATATCCGCAGTCGTTATTAGCGAAGTTGACTGTATGCTAGTTATTAGAGTGTAGATACTCTGCATCAGAATATCTTCTATAAAACAGTATTATTTAGCGCATCCCTTTCCATTTAAGATGGGGTAGTGATCGTGATTGAACATATTGGTGCCATGTGCGTACACTCCACTAACTCATGGATAGGGCCGAAATAAACACAGTCTCTCAGTAATCGAACGTTCTCGATGGTAACGAGTGAATGAAAGAATATTCTTTATTACTGCAACTCCCTGCTTTGCTGTTTGTGCTTGCGTTTGCAAGCATTGTCTGTTCCTGTCAGGTCACAAGAAAATCTACCACTGAATGGCACTGATACACAAGTACGTTACGGTACATAAAGGGTTTGAAAAAGATTAAAATTAGGTTGCATTTGTTCAGTCATTCCCAGTACCAGCCTATATCCTGGACGATGTCCGCCAACATTTCTGTATAGTATCGATAATCGAGTTTGAAGTTTTGTTTTGTTGGTGAGGTACAGGTATGCAGCAGCAACGAAGCCCCTCCGCGCATTTTCATTCCGCTCGGAATGAGACCTCATTCCACTTTTTCTTAGGAATCGCCAGAAAGGATTCTGCCCCCTTCATTCCGCGACCGGAATCGGAATTGCACCGAACAAACGCTGTCGAGTGTATCAAAGAAAAAACGCTCTGGAACCAAAACACGGCGGAATGACTTTGGAATGGTGGCGGAATGGCACCGAACAAACGCAACCTTATAGAGGGGCCAGATAGACGGCACATTGAGGTACATGTACAAGCTAATCCTCTCCCTGCTCGGACAGAACACCTATTCTCATATACATTCAAAAAAAAAGAATGGAACCTACCGCATAGATAGCAGATCCACTCCAAGACAAGTCCTCAGTCCAGTGTAGTCAAACCTCCCTCTAGCGATACAAGAAAGCAACTGAGAAGGGGACTGAAGGTGAAGCCCTTATAACTGAGCTCATGCGCCGCGGGTTGCGCGGGTCGCGGTTGGGCGGAAGCGCGATTCAATTTGCGTTCGGGAATGGCCTCGCAAATCTCGCAATGCGCTGTCCCCTGGGAAAATCGCGATTCAATTTGCGTTCGTGAATGGCCTCGCAAATCTCGCAATGCGCTGTCCCGATCCGGGGGGGGGGGTGCTGGATTCTCCGGTATTAGTCCTTTATTTCTAGCTAGCTTTGTTGAAACGAGGATTACTAATTAATTATTGATAAAGGGGGTTATAGTGTTGTATCACGTTCCTCGTGGCGTGGGCTGAGTCTTCTGTCAGGTGGACGGAGCTATAAAACACACAGACAGGACGGCGATTATTGGTGTATAGGTAGGTACGGACGCAACGTGATGGATTCTTGTTGTCTTCGCGACTTGTGCTGTGGATACGTCGATCTTGCGTGGTGTCGTAGGTCGCGCGCGGGGATCGCGCGTAGATCTGCGTGCAGTGATGTTGGCGCGCGTGGTGCGCCGGAGCGTTTCTCGTCCTCGTCGTTCCGACAAGCACGAGTCGTAGGTCGCGCGCGGGGATTGTTTGTTTATTTTATTTTACTTCACCAAGTGAACAGGCATTTCTGCCTTCTCACCAGGTCCGGAGACCTAGTTCCGACAAAATGATGAAGAGTGAATGAAAATGTATGCATGATGGGATCGCGCGTAGATCTGCGTGCAGTGATGTTGGCGCGCGTGGTGCCCCGGAGCGTTTGTCGTCTCCGCTCTTTCCGACAAGTACGAGTCGTTGGTTCTCGGACTTGCTTCTTTCGCGATTGTGCGTTGCATCCCCGCCGTTGGGGTCAGTATTTGACCCGAGCGTTGTGTATTATACCGCTTGTTTTGGATATGGTGCATGCACGGTGTGGTGAATGCGCGGTCTCCATTGATCTGGGGTTGTGGTGCCAGGTCCGAGCACGAGGCCGTACTGTGTGTGTTGAATTAATTATTTTTTTGTGAAGATCGAAAATGATCTACGAGCAAAACGGCTCGATCTGGCCGGCGGCCGTGTGTGCCTGTTGTGTATCGAGATCTGCAGAGTGCAGTAAATATTGGCGTGTCTGTTGCAACCGCCTAGGCCAGGTGGATGGTTGCTGTAATCTGCCCGCGTGTGGTATGAGCTCGTACTGCATGCTGAGCCGCGCTGTGCTGTTCGGAACAAGAGAAGACTTGTAGACGGATCCAGTGGTAGCCTACATTTTGCACACCTGATGAGCCGTCATGACCTATACGGCGAAACGTAGATCTACATATACGTCGTGTGGAACTACTTGTTATTGTACATAACTAGTCCATCATACATGATAGTGGAGTTCAGTAGGATGTTGACGTTTCGGTTTGTCACAATTCGTCTTCGCTTAGCTTCCCCTTTCTATGTTTATTACGTAAACTTGAGCCTCCCAAGTAGCCATTGGCGGACTATGCTCGGCCATTTTTTTGTTTTTTTTATTTTTTTATTTAATTATGCTTTTGATTATGCCACAATTATGCCAACAAAATATGCTGAATTATGCTCGGTTATTATTATTATTATTATTCTCGTATCCGTCCCGAAAGGGACTCACGACGGCAGAATTAACCGTGAGCATGTGTGTGTGAGAGTGGGAGAACGAAATGAAAAAGAAAAGAAGAGTCTTGTAATAAAGGTCAAATTTAAGAAGAGCAGTACTAGACTAAATGGCTGAGCAGATGTTACTCCATTGTTTTCTGTCGCGGGCATAGGTGCCGAGATCACGAAGGCAGCTGGGCTTAAAAATGCAGATAGGTGTGAGGCGGACGTCTCGCTGGAGACTTGTGGTGAGGCAAGAGCGGGGTGCACCTATTCGAAAGGGCTGACTGGTAGCATATGTACAGAAAGCAGTGAGAGCAACATTTGCAGGGATGCCACTATGTATTCACGCTGTACATAGAGGATTGAGAAACCACGCATACACACACGGCCATGCCCTAAGCATAATTTTTGTCTAAACCGAAAGATTATGCCGACCTAACACGTTGGTATCCGTATATTATGCCGGAGCATAATTTCTTGACAAAATTCCAAGATTATGACAAATATTATGCCGGCTTAATCCGCCAAGGGCTACTCCAAAGTAGGCCTCGACCAAATATGCTAAAAAAAAGAGCATATTATGCTCGTCGCTAGGGTCCAGCGAATAATGCCGGCATTATATTCGGCATTATAAGACTATCCGAGCATTAGAGCATTAGGAAGGAACAAGACGAGCATTAGGTCAGGTTTGAGCGGCATAACGAGTTTTATAGTGGATATTATTATTAAGTAGTGGTTGCGACCTCGGCGATGATTAGTAAGAAAAGGGTTTGCTCCCCACACCGGAGCTCGCGCTATTCCGCCGACTTTACTTGACACTTGACTGACTCACGACTGCCATCCAGAGCACACGAGAAGTCCATCGAACCTTCGACTCGGCAAACCTGCAAGAAAGCACCACTCCCTGCTCAATACACAGTGTTTCGGGGAATTCACCCCTCATCAGTTGAGCTTGAGTAGGCTGAGGAAGATTGTGCCTGAGGAGCACCACTTATATAGTGCTCTCCAGGCACGACCATCACCAGGGATACAAACTTACAGAGACGCTCCGTTTTCAGCGCGACAAACACCTCGTGAGCACCAGATAGCAGCGTGAGTCAGTGTCGCTCCTGGACGGTGAGACAGACGTCGAGGACCATCGGTCATTCGCAACGCTGTCACCTCCAAACCAACTAGTCGCAAGCCCGCGCTGGGCACAACAGTACGAAGTAGTGGTTGCGACCTCGGCGATGATTAGTAAGAAAAGGGTTTGCTCCCCACACCGGAGCTCGCGCTATTCCGCCGACTTTACTTGACACTTGTCTGACTCACGACTGCCATCCAGAGCACACGAGAAGTCCATCGAACCTTCGACTCGGCAAACCTGCAAGAAAGCACCACTCCCTGCTCAATACACAGTGTTTCGGGGAGTTCACCCCTCATCAGTTGAGCTTGAGTAGGCTGAGGAAGATTGTGCCTGAGGAGCACCACTTATATAGTGCTCTCCAGGCACGACCATCACCAGGGATACAAACTTACAGAGACGCTCCGTTTTCAGCGCGACAAACACCTCGTGAGCACCAGATAGCAGCGTGAGTCAGTGTCGCTCCTGGACGGTGAGACAGACGTCGAGGACCCTCGGTCATTCGCAACGCTGTCACCTCCAAACCAACTAGTCGCAAGCCCGCGCTGGGCACAACAGTACGAAGTAGTGGTTGCGACCTCGGCGATGATTAGTAAGAAAAGGGTTTGCTCCCCACACCGGAGCTCGCGCTATTCCGCCGACTTTACTTGACACTTGACTGACTCACGACTGCCATCCAGAGCACACGAGAAGTCCATCGAACCTTGGACTCGGCAAACCTGCAAGAAAGCACCACTCCCTGCTCAATACACAGTGTTTCGGGGAATTCACCCCTCATCAGTTGAGCTTGAGTAGGCTGAGGAAGATTGTGCCTGAGGAGCACCACTTATATAGTGCTCCCCAGGCACGACCATCACCAGGGATACAAACTTACAGAGACGCTCCGTTTTCAGCGCGACAAACACCTCGTGAGCACCAGATAGCAGCGTGAGTCAGTGTCGCTCCTGGACGGTGAGACATTATTATTATCAAAATTTTGATAGGGCAATCCCCACAGGCCTAAGGCTTTCTTACAGGGTACCCTGGATAATGTCGGGAAATCTCATTGTTATTGGCAACAATCGGCTAAAGCCATGACTGCATGAGGTGCAACGCTATTGTACCGGCAAATGACTTTGTGAGTGTAGACACCGTCACACGTAACACCTTTACTTGCTTTAGCGCTACATTTACCAGACTACATACAGTAATGGCATTGCTACATAAAGTCTTTATGTAGCAATGTCATGTAAATGTACATGTGATGTAGCATGCCCAACGTTGCAACTGAGGCTGTTTATGCTTCGAAGCGCACAAAATCCGTAACGATGATTCTAATACGAGGATTTTTTAGAATTCATGGAGAGCCATGGAGACTACGTAGATCTACGCGAAGTGAATATCAAACAGAGGAAGAGGAGTTTCCTGTTAATAAAAGTGTTATGCCATAGGCTCTGGCCATAGCATGTCTAGCGATACTGAAGTAAACACCAATCCATTCACACAAATTTGGACCTGCACGAAGGAGCGGCTATAAACGGATAAAGCGTACCCCAAAATTAATAACTGCCTTTGCCGAGTCCAGCTCAGGAGGCTCGAAAAGAACTAGAATTTTTAATGGACGAAGCACCAAGTCGATTTGGGTGCTCAGCAGCGTATGTTTTACTTTCCTGGTGAAGCAAGTACAGTTCGTCGTGGACGATTGTAATGCAAGGCCTATAGTCAAGTGCTATCAGAAAAGAAGAGTATAGTGGCCAACCATTTGTCTCCACACAGCCTCAGGAGAAGAAGACAGCGCAAGCAGAGGGTGTAGAGCGGCAAAATAACTTCTGACCACGTGTGTTCAGGATTTCCGCAAATGGGAGGGATCTCGATCTGAGATCGTCTCTCGGGAACTTGCTTGACGTAAGCTGTTTCAGATGAAGACATTTTTCACGGAGTGGAAGCAGTGACAGCTTGTCTGCAGGCAGGAATATCACTTCCCATGATAAGCTTCCAGCATCCAATTGATCACCAGCAATAATGGTCTCACATCCCACTTCATGGATAAGCAAGGGAAAAGATTTGATACACCCATTATTCAGCTACAGCCCTGCATCAAAGTTGCAATGGAGAGCAGCCAATGGAGACGCGATCATGTCTTATAGTGCTAAGAAGTGGTGGAGCTCGTGAGAGATATTGCAGCAGCTTCAGAGGCAGATTGACTATATACATCCTTTCCTGGAAGTTTGACATTGTGCAGACTTTCTTCCATTTTTGTCCCAAACCAAGAGCATTATATCCCTTGTTGAAGCATTATAATCAGCATTATAAGGCAGTTTTTGGAGCATTAGGGTTAGCATTATACGAACATTTTCGGAGCATTATCCGCTGGACCCTACTCGTCGCATATCAGGGAAAACGTCCATAATATACCAAAGGCTTAGCAAGATATGCAAAAAGATATGCCAAAATATGCCAAAAAATGCTCGACATAAGCAGAAAGTGTAGATCATTT